GCCTGCCTGCTGTTGTACCCAAACAAACTCAAAGTCCTTGAAATGTCTTAGTCCCTATAGAAAATTAAGATACTCAATACCTTTCTTAAAATGAAAGCATCTTACCATGTCCGTTTTCTTTCTGTATTTTTAATAAGATTCAACAGATTTGTCTAGCCAGACTTTAGATTCTAAAGAGTCTCAAGTTAATTAATCTCAATGATTAAAGTGTAAATCACAGACAGACTAAAAGTAAGGTTAAGGTTATTGTCGTTGATAGAATCATTGCTACTCGTTTTTGCGTTTTGCATTAAATCTTTCTTTGAACGATCCCAGAACGATTTGCTTATTCCATTTTATGCGTACCTCGTTCTGCTCATAACTTGAATCAGTCTTAAGTTGATTCATATACGGGATATGTGGAGGAGGATTTTACGACCTGTAGTCACTACTAACGATCGAAACTTTTAACCGACCATGACACAGCAGGCATCACTTTCATAGGTACAAAATTGAAATCGGTTATCTATATTTTATGGGTTCAATGAACTACTTTAAAATGGAAAGTGTATGTTTACATAGTAAAAATTAATTATAATTTCAATTAGGAAATCGCAATGTAAAGATGACAAAAAACGTGGAACCGTATTTGAGGATAAAAATTTTATTATTGTCTCCATCGCGAAGTATTAGCAGAATTAATCACGGCGTTAAACGGGCTATGAATCAGCCTCACCAGCACATGCAATAGGTATTCGAAGTTATGCAGGAAATCTCTCAGTCAACAAATTAATTATTTTGACACTTAATCATGGAAAGTCTTTGTTTACAAAATTTATTTTAGTCACATTCCATTCAACTACCTGTATTAATAATACAATTAATATTTTATTTATTTTTATTAAAAATATTTTATGTATTTCAATTTAAAAAATGCTAAATGTAACACGTCATGCTAGAAGTTAAGACCAATGATTTTAGAGCTCAAACTATACTTATCATCTTTTCCCAAGCTCCTTAGACACATCTGCAGACATTGTAGATTGGAATAATGGTAATCTCTAATTAATCTCTGTTACATTTCTTATGAAAATTTTAAATATTTGCAAAAACTTATGGATACTGTCGTAATTTGATGAAAAATGAGTCTAACATTAAAACTGCTACTTCTCCAGTAAAAATTGACAATCGTCAGGTTTTTTCATAAATATAACTCTACATGAAAATCTATAAATAACCATAAACCGTGTCACAGAATGAAATGGGAATAAGATCAATGAAAAATAGAATAGCAAAATATAAATGAGATTTGTCAAAAAATTGGCATTGATAAATACAAATTCTACATTCTGCGTTAGTTACGCAAATAGATACCTGACGAAAACTTCAAAAATGGGATAACGCCTGCATGCACTTTATATACAGGGTGGTTCAGATTTTATATTTAGAATGATAGATCTCAAAAACAAAATATTCTCTAGGAACATAAACATCGTGAAAATAAATTATTGTTCTCTGTAAACTACATCTGTAAGATGTCCGAAATTCGGTACGAACATTTCTTCCAAAGGAAAATCTATTATAACAACTTTATATTGGATTTTCAGAATCCTTTTTGATTAACCCCTCTGAAGCAAACATGTCCCTTTTTTCTATTAACGCATTTCTGGTGTATTCTGAAGCAAAATTTATAAAAATATTTTATTTTCAACCCCCTGAATTATTTTTTACGCGATTGAAAATAAAATTCTATGTTACAAATTAACAGAGAAGTTTATACGAAAATGTTTCGGTACATGTGTCGTTTTCTACAGTGTTAAAAATTAAAAAAGAAATAAATGGACAAATTACAAACAAAAAACTACACAAGTTGCTTTATTCCAATATGGACAATATGGTATGTAGCTCTCGATTTTTATTTTCTAACATAAACGAATGTTACAATTTTTTTTAATTCAGAGCCGAATTATTATTTTTACATACCTTCCTATTTAACTCACGATTATAATGGATCACTTAAAGATTTACAGAAATGTATACGATGAAGAAAAGTTCAAATAAACGTAGGTCAGCAAAAACTTCGTTTTAGATGTACAGGGTGATACATCTGTAGAATTCAAACCATATTATTAGTGACCATTAAAGGTAAAAAAAAAAAAAATAAATCACTAAATTAAAAAATTAGAAGATAAAACAATTCACAAAACAAGTGTCATCAGAATAACAGCACTGGGAAGGACTACAAGGATCGTGATTCCAAAAAACTTTTTTCATATATTTGATCAGAAAAGCATCTGTAGAATTTCTCTGGGAAATACTGTAACGCCCTGTATATATTCCAGTTAAAGTGACATAATGCAACGAGATTAGTAAGCGGAAATCAATTTGTCAAAAATGAAATCGACAATAATTTGATGGAGATAAATGGTAAAGTGACACACTGTGCAGATGTGTCTTATTCCGAAATTCTATTCGGCACTTTAGTAGAACTAGTTTAGTTACAAGAACCTATTAAAAAATAATTTCATAAAAAATTTTATTTAATCACAAGCATACGCTTTATATTTAATTTTCATATTGCATTATTTTTTATTTATTGTTTTAATAATTCAGCGGTGATTTTTTTGACTTAAAGTAATAATGTAAATGATTATATCTCCTATGAAACAAACAGAATATTAATTTCTGTAACCATTCTTTTAAAAAATTTTAACACCTCGATTTTTAACACCCTTTGTACTTACTCCAAAATGTTCTTAGTTTGTCGATGTTTAGAATTTAAAGCATAAAAGACCAATGTAGATTTATGGGACTAGAATGTTACGGTATATATGTCACGCTGGGATATGTTTAACTAATTTCCCCAAATGACTTACTTATATGACGTAACACACGAGTACCATACAAAATTTTATTATAGAATTTCGTTTTAATAATAAATAAAAGTAACTTAAAATTTCATCTTGTCAATCTCAGAAAAAGTAATTTAACGAAATGAATGTATTTTTAAATATTACAAAGTATGGAGTGTCAACCTAAATTGTGTCTGTAACCAAGGGTTGTCAGTAAACAAACAATATTTTTTGAGTTGAAATCACGTTGAAATCCTAAAACCAAAACTGAAAAGATGGAAAATGCGGAAATTCCACCTGAAATTTTAGAAAAAGCTAATGCGGCTACTGCATGCATCATTCCGGAGAAATCAAAATCAACATACAACAAAGAACTAAAGGAATTTCAAGACTGGAAAATCAAAGAAGGGGTGAAAGGCGTAAATGAAGATGTCTTGCTGGCTTATTTTTTCAATTTCAGTGGGAAATTAGGTCCATCCACTTTGTGGACTAAATATTCCATGTTGAATTCAACTTTGAAAGTTTACAAGAACATTGAAATTTCTAAATTCGGACGACTAGTGACATATCTAAAGTCTAAGCACAAACATTTTTAACCAAAAAATTCCAAGGTCTTAGAAAGAAAACAAATCGAACAATTTTTGCGTTAAGCTCTAGACGAAGATCATCTTATGAATAAGGCAGGTTCTACTGAATAGTTTAAATGAGTTATACATATTTATTAAATTTGTTGTTTTTAGGTGGCGTTGATATTAAGAGTTTTTGGCGCTTGCCGTTGCGAGGAATTGACCCATCTAAGCATAGACAATATAGAGGACAAAGGGCAGTATATCCACATCATGATTTCAAATACTAAAACGAACAAACCAAGAAGCTTCGCTGTGTTAAATGAAGGATTTTGTGTTAATCCAATTGAATTAATTAGAAAATATTCTAAGCTAAGGCCTCAAACTGTGCAGCATAAAAGGTTCTTTTGCAATTTTCAAAAGGGAAAATGCACACGTCAATGTGTTGGTATTAATAAGGTATCAAAAATCCCTAATGTTGTTGAGCGTTTTTTGGGCTTGACAGATTCTAATTTATATACAGGGCATGGCTTGCGTGGCGCATCTGCAACTCTCTTGGCAAATGCTGGAGAGGATATTACAACACTCAACGCCAACGGTGAATGGAAGTCATCTACCGTGGCAGAAGGTTATATAGAAGTCAATTTCCAGCAAAATTGATATTGCTAAAAATATACAAAGGGTGCACACTCCTGAAGCAAGCACAAGCAAAGGGGCAATCTGTTCTATAAATTTGCCATAATCACAAAATGATTCCAATAATCCTCTGGCATCAAATTACGGCTTTACTATAAATGTTAATGTTAATATTAATAAGTAGGTAGATTGTAGGTTTGTAGCATTTCAGATTATTTGTTGACTTATTACTGTTTCAAATTGATTTTTTAATAAAAACTAGAAAAACAAACCCCACATTTGTTTCTTTATGATTTCTATAAGTCACCAGTGGGTTATAAGTCATAACTTACTAGTGACTTATGACTTATAACTCACTAGTGACTTATAGGCCACATCATTCCTATAAAACCAAAGAAAGAATAGTATCATTATATACAAGTGTTGAATAAAAAAATTTAATCGACTTTGAAAAGCAATAAGTCACTGAATTGAACATAATACTAAAAACTCATATTCAATTATAAAACACAGTGAAAACGTTAACAATATTAAAAATACTAAATTGTAATAACCTAACATTCGAAAAAAATTAGTACTTGTTAATATTTAAAATGTAAAAAATATGTGATTCATTCATGTATTTAGGTAAAAAGATCTGCTTGCTCCTTGTAGTTCACTACGCATTAAAAAAGTATAGAAACTAGGTTAGTGACCTAATAATACAGAGTAGATCAAGATTCACTCTCGATAAACCTTTGTGGGTCAGCGGTCCTGAGCGGCCCAAAAAGTAAAATAATGATTTGAAAATATTTTTTAAATAGTGTACATATTTGTATTCTACCCGTTTTCCCCTATCTTCCCTTAAAATTAATGACACTATGACTGAATCACCCTGTATAAGTCAACATGTATGAATTCGATTTCATGCAGCTCGCGACTCATACAGAAACCGCGCATCTCGACGGAAGACGCCACAAAAACTTACTTTTGCACTTTCGGCAGAGCCATGACTGAGTGTTTTGGTGTGGTGTGGATGGTATGGATGGTGTTCCCGAGGCCGACAGGGCGAGGTGCTTCTACTCGAGGTTTTGCTTCCAGTTTGCTGAGAGGTTACGTGCAAGCTATCCATCGCACCTAATCTACAAGAAAGAAAAATCTAATAGAGGTAACTGAAGCGGGGTGCATTTTGTTCTATAACTACAAAAACCATGATTAGTGGGCATGATACGAAGACCAGAATAGACTACTTGGTCTTTGTAACATGGTTAGTGGGTGTGAAGGGTTATCACGTAAGTAATTATTAATGAAAATGGCAAGTGTTATTTAGGCATGGGGTTTATTAGTAAGGCTGTCAGAGAGAGCCGCAATCCAATGGTGTGCCAAGCGGGTCAACCGAGACGAGCGTGAGCCGCTGCCTCAGAATGCTTTTCACGTACACGTCACGTTAGTACACTGTTGCCTTTGTTATCGTGCGGATGTTGCGTAATTAATTCCTATCCGTTGTTGTTTGTGGTGGTGTACTGTAGATAATTTAACTTGTTGCTTTTTAATAAATAATGCGTACGCCTTTGTCCCGCGGTTCAGTTCTGACAGCCCTAGTTCTTAGGAATTATTCTTAATAGATTCAAAATCATATTTTTCCAGTTATTGGTTGTCTTTTGGCACGCTGCAACCAACCAGCAAATTGTTATTAATTGGTATTCTTACTGTGGTTAGAAGCTACATGAGGAAAATTAGTTCAGTTAATAGCAGTAACCTTCCAAAACTGATATACACTATATCCCAAAATGATGGAACAAATTTCAAATATTTTTCCAGTTCAGATTTAAAAAAATCGCTGAAACATGTCGTTTAGTAAATAGAAATTTTCACTTTCCTGCAATATTTTCAATTTTTTTTAAGCCGTGTTTGACAGACATATAACATTACCACATTTTTTTGAATAGCACGCTTTATATTTTATAGTATAAATACAGGGTGTAAGGTAAAGGTTGGGAATAAATTAAACGGTGGATTTTTTTATTTAAAAAAATAAATATTTATCATATAAAGTTATGCTCTACAGGTTTTCTTTTAGAAGCCACAGGGCGCTAAAAAATTTCAAAATACTTAATTTTTTAATATCATTTTCAATGCAAAAGTCTTTTTTCAATATCTATTTGACCATGTTCGGTGGCTGAGTCAAAGCATACTTCATAATGTTTTTGTTATTTTTATTTTCCAATATTAGCAGTGGGAAAAAATAGTATTTACAAAAGCTTTATTTACGGAAAAATTACAAGAGCTAGAAATGAGGGTAATTTTGTTTAAAATAAAAAGTGGATCATAAAAAAATATTAAAAAAAAAAATTTACCAGTGGCGTAACCCAATTTTGTTCGAAAAACCTTACGGTATAATCTGTATGCACGCCACTGAGTAATTTACAGTCAATCTTTTTTCGTTTGATTATTATTATTATTATTATTGTTATCTTATATCGTTCGAAAGTTATCGGAGAAAAACTAAATTTTTTAAACTTTTTAGCGCTCTGTAGCTTGGAAAATAAAACCGGTAGAGCATAACTTCATATGAGAAAAAAATATTTTGTAAACCAAAAAATCCACCGTTTAATTTATTCCCAACCTTTACGTTACACCCAGTAGATAGCCCTTCTAAAGACAAATTCAGCGATATAAGGTTATACTTACTTTTTGGTCATAATTGTTAAAAAATTGTCTTTTATGTCGTACTGACGACTATTTCAAAAAAATCATAGTCTCTTCTGAACATTAAAAAACGTACCTACTCTTTATTAATCTTTTTCTACTTACTTTAAAGCTATTTTTTTCTCAAAATAAAACGCATCGATAAACACATACAATTCACCAAAGTACCTTAGGTATAACGTGAATCGTTTTAGTTCCAATTCATTGGTTGTTAAATTATTTTGAAAAATGGTTGTCCGTTTAATCGAAACATAGAATTGAAATTTTAATTATGATTGAACGCGGAAATAAAATCCGTAGTCAACAGGAGATAGTGACTTATTTCACCATAAATATCCAGAGAATTAGTCGAACTAAAATAAGTAAAGTATCCAAAAAGTATGAAGAAACCGAAAGTATAAAAGATTTACCTGGATCAGAAAGGCGAAGAACGATAAGCGTAAATGACCGTCAAAATGTGATGCTCGCCGTTACCGAAAATCCTCACTCATCCATCAGATCTATCTCACAATCAGCCAACTTAAACTTATCGAAGTCCTCAGTACACAGAACTTTGAAGTCTCAAAAGTGACATCCTTACAAAGTTAACGTCTTACAAGAACTATGGGCAGATGACACAGATAGAGGATTACAATTTTGCGAGGAAATTAGAAATTTATTTGAAAAACGACCCAAATTAAAAAATCACATAATTTTACTGACGAAGCAACTTTTTACTTAAACGAAATCGTGAACAGGCAAAATACTAGGTTTTGGAGCCCAAAAAATCCGCATTGGATGGAAGAAAAACATACACAACAGCCAGAAAAAGTGAATGTTTGGGCTGGAATAGTAGAAAATCGCATACTGGGACCTTATTTCTTTGAGGGCAATTTGACAAGCAATATTTATTTGGATTTTTTGCGTTTTCAGCCGATTCCAGCCTTGGAATTAACTTTTCCTAACCCTAATGAGCACGATATGCCTGCTGGTGATGTGAAGGTATTCCTCCACATTTTCGCCTCGATGTAAGAAATTACATTAAGTTTTCCCAAATCGATGTATAGGCAGAAGAGCGCCGCTTGAATGGCCACCACGCTCCCCTGACTTAACCCCACTAGATTTTATTGTGGGGTTATCTAAAAAGCAAAGTGTATGTGAACAGATCAGACACTATCGAAGGATTGAAAAATCGTATCAGAGAAGAAGTTGGAAACATAAATGTTATTCAAAATGTAATTGATAACTTTGAACACAGAATTGGGCATTGTGCAATGGTTAATGGGCGCCACTTTGAGCATTTGTAATAAAATAAAAAGTAGTACTAAATTACTGTTTTCATTTAATTCCTCCATTTTTTGACAACTATGAAAATATAACCTTATATCGCTGAATTCGTCTTTAGAAGGGCTATCTATTTATACCTACATAATATATAGAGCTCCTATTAAAAAAAATGTCGGTACTGTTATAGGTCTGTAAAACATGGCTCAAAAAATAGAAAATATTGCAGAAAAGCGACAATTTCGATTTACTAATTGACTTCAAGCGATTTTTTTAAATTTAAACTAGAAAAAAATATGGATTTGCTCCATCACTTTGGGACACAGTGTATATGAAAAAGTTTATCAGTAAATGAATGGGCTTTTTATAAGACATCCTAATATTCTACTTTTCATAATGGAAGTTTCATCAGTCAAGTTAGTGGTTAAATAATTTGGTTAGTAAATAACGTAAGTTTTAGGTATATCTTGGAGTTTTACGAAAAATTCATTTATCCCATGGAATAACTAAATATAAATCAACACCTTTATATTTACAATGGAGGCAAATCCTGTAAATAGCTAAATACAGGCATAAAGCAGGATAAATGGTAATGCTTAGAGGAATTTTAAAAGTATTATGTAGAAAGAAGACAAATCATTTAATATACAGAGTATCCGGAAACAGACAGTGTACAATAAAAAAAACTAATATTGATCAAGTTAGTTGAGCAAGTTGAACAAAATTTTTCACGTGTTTATGTCATTAAGTATCTACCCACTCTATTGTAACAACATAATTATAACGAATAGCCGAATATTTTTAATATTGTCATATCTAATTATCTCCAAATTTGAAAATAACGAAATTAAAACAGTTTATTTTACCTTTCGAGGTGAATACACCTGTGTCACTTATTTTTGGCACAGTATTTATATGACACATACGTAAACATACTGAATGCTTGTTAGAAGGTTTCAATGATTTCGAGAGAAAAGGAAAGAAAAGAACTAGGTAAATAAATTTATTGTTTATTGTCGATAATTCCCACATTATCACACTTTTATCAGCAATTAACTTACAGACAGGTTTATAGCTTTATCAGGATCAAGCAAATAAATCAACTATTCCAAGAATAAACGTATGTGTAGCGTTACATTTGTTTGGTTAGTTATTTTTAGTTATGTCGAATAGATTTTGGCTTTTTGAAGGCGTTCTGCGGTTGAAATTGAAGCCGTTTTGAGTTTTAAACAAGCAGGAGGAATCTGTAACATTTATACTTCTACAATAAAGTATTTACGACACAGTTCTGTTTTTACAATCTCTTTGTTCAACCAAATTCAACCGTTTTGCGTTGTGGAATTTACTTTAAAACAACCACAAATCACGAGCTTACTGAATTACTTTAAAATCTATAAACAAATTGATAATAACTTTCATACATTAAAAGATTAACTGAAAAAAAAAACAGTATGCCTTTGCACACAGGGTGTACCTTAAATCGACCGCCAGAAAACAGAATTCTTTGTCAAAATATTCCAAGTGTTTTTTTTTCAATTACAATTCAATTCAATTAAATTCTACATTTTCCAGGAGACAAAAATAGTTCAATATTTTTTAAACCTACTATGAAAAAGCGGGTTCTAGGCAAGAGGCAATAGAAAAAAAAATTACCAAATTTGGTATTGATGCTTTCATTAGTTTTGAAAATCTAAATAATCGCTGTTAACAAGCCGTCTCTCTCGAAAGTGTTAGTATACAGGGTGTTTTTAAATGAAGTAGCAAAAATAGTACCAGTGAATGTAGAGCCAAAAATAAGAGGATTGAAGTAAAAATACCTTATATGAAAGTTGCACCCCTGAGGCGATATATCCTCTTAAAGGAGGGGATTGAAATTCACATTTAAATTTTTTTCTTTAACATGAAGAATGCTAGAAACACGAAACTTGGTTTGAGCATCCTACTAATAAAGATACAACTTTTCAATATTTGTTCGATCATTGGCGTATTTTATAAAGGAGCGAAACAGTCAACCCCAATGCAATATTTTATTAGACATTTTTTATATGAAGCAAATTATTTATTTAAAAATATTTATTGGGATGACTGATTTATTGCGCAACTTTTTTACCTCTTGTAATTTTTCGATAAACCCGATAGTTTTCTAGTAAAAAAATTAGATGCGTCATCGTTCACTAAATTTGTAAAAATAAAGTAGGCGAATGTCATAACAAATAAATTGTTATTTATCATATTAATAAATGACACTTTCTGCCAATAAGCTGGTAATTTAATAATAACATTAAGAATAATTTGCTATTAATTAATGAAAAATGTTTGATTACTTATGACTATGGGACATGTATTGGGTAAAGTTATTTATCAGAAATAAAATTTAATAATGCAACGAAAAATAAAGAAATGCTAAATTAAATTTAAAGGATATTATCGAAATAATTTCCATTTTGCTGCAAGCATAACCTAATACATCTGTTGAAGTTATAACGCACTCGCACAAACAGTTCTTGATTATTGCGAAGGTCATCTGCTGCCTGTAACATACTTAAGCGTAGTTCTTCTAAGGAGGCAACAAGAGTGGTATAAACTATACTTTTTATGTGTCCCCACAAAAAGAAATTCATAGGCGTTAGGTCAGGCGAACGTGCAGGCCAACAAACAGGAGTATCACGAGCACAACCAATCCAGTGATTCGGGTAATTTAAATTTAACCATTCTCTAACGGTAAGTGTACTATGTGCAGGCGCCCCATCGTGCATATACCACATCACCTGACGTGTAGCGAGGAGTACATCCTCAAGTAATATTGGAAGATTTCGTTCAAAAATCTAAGATACTCAGCCGCTCCAAGCCTGTGTGGAAGAATAAAAGGACCTACTAGAGTATTTCCTACAATTCCCATCCAAACGTTTAAACTGAAATTATGTTGACATCATGAAACAAATATTTCATGAGTATTTTCTTCCGACCATGAATGAGCATTATGAACATTTACTGCACCTACTCTAGGAAAATTTGCTTCATCGGTGAAAAGTATATTCATTAGGAAAAAGTCATGCCTGGAAATATTAATGTACCATTGACAAAAATCCACGCGGTTAGGTAAATCAGGGTCATTCAATTCTTGCACGGGTTGATGGTGAAAAAGGCTATAAAAGATTTTCATGAGCTACATTGTGAGAAACTTGCAGTTGCCTGGACACCTGTCTTATGCTTGTACCACAGTCTTGTTCTAGATGGTCCAGTAAAGATTCCTCAGTTTCTACAGTTCGGACATTACGCCTTCTTCCGGCACCCTCACGATTGGGCTGAATTTTACCAGTTTCGCGAAGCTTTCTTTCCACCGAGGCCAATGTTTGTCTATGGTATCGGTCGGTTTGGATATCTTTACTATTTCTTCTGGATTTGAAAAACACTTGGAGCATGTCGACATAATCGTCATTGGTATAAATATTATTTGCCATAATTATTCCCATAATAAATTAACCAATTGGTACTAATTATTGGTTGACAGAAAGTGTCAATTTATTAATATGATAAATAACAATTTAGTTATGACAATCGCCTACTTTATTTTTACAAATTTTTGCAATTATCCCTTTAGTGAACGATGACGCATCTAATTTTTTACTAGAAAACTATCGGTTTTATCGAAAAATTACAAGAGGTAAAAAAGTTGCGCAATAAATCAATCTTTCCAATAGATATTTTTAAATAAATAATTTGCGTCATATAAAATATTGCAATGGGGTTGACAAATATTGAAAAGTTGTCTCTTTATTTGTAGGATGTTCATACCAAGTTTCGTGTCTCTAGCATTGCTCGTTAAAGAAAAAAAATAAAATGTGAATTTAAATCCCCTCCTTTAAGAGGATATCCACCTTCAGGGGTGCCACTTTCATATAAGGTATTTTTACTTCAATCCTCTTATTTTTGTCTCTACATTCACTGGTACCATTTTTGCTACTTTATTTAAAAACACCCTGTATATTTGTAAGGAGTCAGAATTGACCAATAGTCTAATTGAACTTTTTGTGTCAATTTTAACACTTTGGAGAAGTGCAGCAATTGAACATCCTGTGCTCGTGCTGTGATCATTATTATTATTCTATTATTTATACAACCTATGACAATTTAGAATTTAATGTGGAAAGTTAATTCCATATATCTACACATGTATACAACAAACGTGTTTAATTTTTTTTTGTTAACTATCGTAAAATAGTACAAAACTTACTCTAGTATATCATGTTCAACAATAGTTTTCATCGTTATATTCCAATTGGTTTCCATATCACAAACAGAACCTTATTTCATCAAATAAGAAGATTCAGTTCTTAAAGAAAATTACTCGTAACACAATCAATCAAACTATCACGTAACACTGCACACTTGGTTCATTTTAATGCAGAAAACTATGTACAAAATTCGATTCTACTGGATTCCAGTTACGTCCTTAACTGCATCGCGATCGCGAACCATCCAACAATCACTCTAAAATTTACAACTGACGCAAGTGAACAAATACACGATACCGCGAACATATTCCTACACGTCCAACATCGAACTAAACACAATATATCAGAATGTATGTACTTAAACTTGCGTTTATTAACTGGTTAACGCTAAATAAACTACTATTAATAACCGCGGAGAGAGCAACATTGGCCTTTTATGATTCATTTGTTAATGGAATGAAAATCGTTTCTACTTGACTCATATCGCTCTCCTGGTCGGTATCGCCTTGCTACTCAACGTCTAGCTGGGTGCATGTAAGTGTATCCGTACATCTGAATAACAAATAACAACAAAATAAAGTTACAAGTCACGGTTTACGAACGGCTAGGCGTAAATGAAGTGCTCGGCTGGCGCATGCGAATTTAGCACAAAAAAAAGTTGTGGAAATGCAGAGACCGAGATCGGATATAGTGGACAATATTTTTTCCGCATACGTAATTCGTTACGGTTTAGTCGAACTGGAAGAGGAAGTAGTAACGATTTTGCACCAATTAAAAATGTTTTGTGCTTCGTTCCATTGTTTAAAAATTGCCAGCGTTTCACGGATTTAGTGAATTGATTCTTGTGGGCTATAAGTACCTTCAACTTTTGTAACGGTTAAATAATTACCTAATAATTCAAGACTGAATAATTGAATACAGCAAAACGGAGTAAATGTCGAGGATCATTAAAACCGGAATAAATATGCATAAAGGATGAACATTACCAGAGTTATAATAATATTTACAATTAAATAATTTGTGTAAAAATTACAATAAGATAAAAACAGGAAACAAAGAGAAACCAAGTCTTGAAGGAAATATATAGATAACTACTACTGCTTCGGCAAATAAGGACTGGGGATAAAGGATATACAGGGTGGGTTTTTGAAAACGAAACAAAGCAAATAACTCTCAGGAAAATTATTTTATCAAAAAACGCCGAGACAGGTCGATTTTTGATCGAAGGGGGACTTAAATTTCTTGTTACAGACTCTACCCCCCTAGGAAGGGGGGGGGGGGGCATTTAAAAAAATAAGCGTCTCGATCCGATCAATAGAAGCCGAGATAATTTTTTATCTTAAAACGGTATTCTGACTGTTCTATTTAATATTTTGTAATAAACTTGAGCTCGTTGTAAAGTAGAAGACTTCCTTTATACGCTGATTTTTTTTAACGATTCGACTAAGAAATGACCAAGTAAACGTTCGTTAAAGGCAGCGTGATCCGCGCGGATGAGCGTTAGGCAGGGGAGCGCTGTGAAGTCATAGTGCCCTTGCTGCGCTCGGCTTCGCAAAATTCTTACTTAACAAATGGATTGTGGTATTTAGAAAGCAGCTATCGGCTGCTTTTTTTTAAATCAACTTATTTTTTTCCGCTGTTTCGGATGGTGTAAGCAAAAGTATGTGAAAGTCATCGCCAAACCCCGAAAAATACATATTTATTGACTTTTCATGTTTTCTTTTGTAATTATGCTTTCGATATTTTGACAAGTAACAGAAAAAAAGGCATCACAAAGCAACAAGTTGAGTCAATGGAAGCACGAAAGTAACAATGGCAAATGTTACATGAAATTGATAAAAAAAAACAGGAAATAATATAAAAATTATGTAAGATTGGGTCACAAATTTGAACATTCTTTTGTAGACTTTATGTTCCTGCATAAATTGCGAAAACTATAATTGGGCATCGTCTTACAGAAGTACATTTGTGTATATTGCAGACAAAAACGAACTGAAAAAGGTTATTGATGTTTATTTTAAAGGTCAACAGGAGTACTTATATTGAAAAATAATATTATCTAAAACAATTGCCTTCTATTTCACTGTTAGGGGGAAAACATTTCTAGTGTCCCTCGTACGTTTATCGGTTAAACCTTGATCGGAATTGTATTAACAAAACGTGCCCCATTCTAATATTTTCCGTAAAAATAATATAAACATCTCATAAAATACTCTAAACTATTCCATATATTTTTATTTAATTAGCGTTTAAACTTTATTGGACCATTAATGGAGCATAAAAAGTTTGGTATAAATGCTAATAAAGTTGAAACGAAACAGTAAAGTAGTAGTATTATTTTTAAAATGGAATCCCGAATATAACTTACAGTTTATAGGTAATCGCAGTAATGGTTAGAATAATACAGGGTGATTCAGTAACAATGTCGTTAATTTTAACAACGCATTCGGAAGACCTAATAAAGACACAAAATCGAAAAAAAAAATACACGACCATTTTAAAAATAAACAAATTAACCCTTAACATCCATTACTTCGGCACCCTACAAAGCGTTCGAACGTTGAAGCGAAACAGCTGATTTCCCCAGTCGACTTGAATGTTGCAATTTGTTTCAAAATCAAAGTGCAGCGGATCCTAATTTTATTAACAATGTGCTATGGACGAATGGGTGTTTGTTTAGCCTTACTGGCATTTTAAATACGTACGTACTATACTACTATTTGAAAAGCAATAAGTCACCGGGTACCTATACGTACTACAAACTGTATAAAGTTGAACATAATACTAAAAACTCATTTTCAATTATAAAACATAGTGAATACGTAAAAATTATTAAAAATACTACATTCGAAAACAATTAGTATCCTTATATATTTGTTTTTATTAACAAATAAATAATACTTGTTTATATTTAAAATGTAAAAAATATCTTATTCATTAATGTGTCTAGATTAAACGATTTGTTTTCTTCCTTATAAACTAACGCAAAAAAAATTAAAAGGTCAAAAGAATTTCCGAAAATTTTCCGTGATTTTTGACACACTGTATTTAGGTGAAAAATGGTCGCATCGGGAATTAAAAAAAGCATTTTGAAGCTCTAAGATTCTAGTTTTTAGATATTTCGGTCGAAATTTTTTAGGAGCAACGGTTAGGTATCATGCAATTCTAAGAAATAGCGCGACAAAAAATGTTGCATTTTTTTTGGAAACAATTGGATATTGTTTTATTCAATGCCCACAAGGGTTCCCAAAAAAATATAAAAAACAAAAAATTTTTTCGAATTTTTTCGAATTTTTTTTTTTTTTTCAATTTACTTATACGTTATTTGCGGTAAAAATGTGAGAAAAGATAACAAAAAATATTTTCCATTTTAATCATGATTGTGAAGTGTTTAAGCTCAAAAAACGTGACCCTTTCATTTTTTTCAAAAGTTTAATTGTTTGTAACAAAGAAACGGTTCGCTAGATCAAAATGAAACTTCACAAGGTTCTTCTGAGTATATAGAACTGTAAAAGTAAAAATTTTTCCAAGTCCGTGGACTCGGAAAAAAAATTTGCAAAACATTTTTGTCGCCTTATTTCTTATAGAATTGTATGATAACCTACTAAAAAATTTCGAACGAAATATCTAAAAACTAGAATCTTAGAGCTTCAAAATGCTTTTTTTAATTCCCGATAGGACCATTTTTCACCTAAATACAGTCTGTCAAAAATCACGGAAGAATTTCGAAAATTCTTTTGAGCCTTTAATTTTTTGCATTGGTCTAGACTCTAGATAGTTCACTACAGATTAAAAATGCAGTAAAAGCTAGGTTAGTGACCCAATAATACGGTAGGTCAAAATTCACTCTCGATAAACCTTTGTGGGTCAGTGGTCAGTAGCGGTCCGAAAAGGGGTTTAAATAATGATTTGTCAATATTCTTTTTTCAAAGCAAATAATCATTTTCAAATTTTTTGAATAATTCGTGTTCTACTCGCACTTCCCTATCTTCCCTTAAAATTAATGACGTGATGACTGAATCACCCTGCATAAAAGAAGTAAATATATCAAAGTTAGAAAAGCATGGCAAGTCGTATGTTTCTCTTGTAATTTCTCTACTTAACATTAATCTCATAACTTTTAAGTTTCCCTCTAATATCACATAATTCATTTCACTGTAAAAAAAAAACTGGAAACATTAGATGTTTTCAATTATTTAAAAACAACACAAAAATAAATTAAATAAGTTTCAATTAAATTGTTGTGGATAACAACAATAGCGTGACTGATGTTCCAGAAACACACGTCATTTAGTACGAAACGTAGTTTATACTGCTGGTGTAAGTCATGGAAGCAACAGTGAATTCATAATTAACACAGTCACATCCTGTATACTGGATATTAAATTTTCAAACTCTGAGGGCATCGGAAGGATGTTGCGGGTATATTGTTATTAGCCGCCTTTGTCTCTTTTATATAAATGATATAATTTTTTACTCAGTAAAGATTGACAACAGGATAAACTAATATTGCCTAATCTAAACTTAATATATGTAGGAAGCAGAATTAAGTTTTTAATACTCAAATATTCGCTTTAGAAAGTTATTTTAACTATGAGTCATCTTCTTAATAGCTCTTTTAAATATTTATAACATTAAAAACGTGTTAGGGTAAAAATTATAAATAATTTAAAAAAATTATTAGAGTGCACATTTCCACCACAAACGTTAACATAGTTTTACATCCCAAAAAGCGTGACAATTATTAAGATTAGCAAAATAAATAAAAGCATCTAATTATTTACATATCTCAGGTGGGTATTTCCAGATGAAGTTATAAGATAAACATTTTTATTGTTGAATTTACCAGAAAATATCAATCATGATACTGACTTGAAATTACAATTTCAAGTGCCAAATATGTGATTACTATACAGGAAGCATCAACATTAACATTTTTAATGACATTGGCTTGAAAAGTACAAATTTTAGGAAAATATTCAAAAAATCTTGAAACCTGCACAAAATTATGTAAAAAAGTGTAAAAAGTGTTGCAATACCTTTAATAGTTCACTTAAAGTGTTTGCTTATTGTTTTATCGACACTTTACTATTTATAGATTAGCGAGAAAATGTTATTCTTCATAAAAAACTTTTGCATTATTTCAAATGTTGAAATATTATAAATTTTTCATAAATTTGTATACAGTGTGTCAAGTTTTCGTTAAAAAAGTCGCTCTCAAATTACGAAGGCATAATTTCTTGTCTCTTTCAAATATTTAATTTTTAAATACTTCAAAAAATTTTAATTCTGGGTCTTTGTAGCTACTTGAAAGCGAACAACTTCGTGTCATTTTA